TGTTAAAACAGCCAAAACAATACCCTATTATACACCCCCCCCCTCAAAAAATAAACAAAAACAAAAACAAAGTAAACTTGATTTTGGCTAAGAACATATAAATATGTGGTTGTTATAAACTAAATGTTTGTTCCCTTCTCAGCTCCAATTCTATACTGAAATCCTAACCCTCTAGCCTGGTGCAGCTATATTTGGAGATGAGGCATATAAAGAAGTGAGTTCACAGGGTGGGGCCCTGATTTGATAGGGTCCTTATAAGGAGAGACAAGAGAAATATATCTCCTTGCACGTGAACTGAGAAAAAGTGTGTGGATGTAGGGAAAAGGTAGGAACAGAGACCTCACCAGAAATCAACTCCGTGAGACCTTAATTTGGTACTTCTAACATTTAGAAATGCAAGAAATGTAACATTTCTAACATTTAGAAATGCAAGAAAATTCAGTTTTTAAGCCAAGGGTGGGTATGGCATTTCACTAGGACAGTTCTAAACATAAGAATACGATGACTATCTTACATGCTTTTAGGTCAATTAACTTTTTACACTCTCTGTCCTCTGACGGCAATTACTAGATTTAGCCAAATCAGCTCTGCTATAGTAGTCTATAGGAAGAGAGTAGCAGTGGGTGTCAGTGCCTTTAACTTGTAGCTTCCATTAGTCTGACCTATTTTCTGGGTCAGAAAAGGATAAAAAAATCCAAACATATTATTTCAAAACTTCTACAATAATCATTATGATTAAAGGTCAATAGGTATACATTGAAAGTATTCAACATACATATGTATTTTCACTTATTTTGAAGAAGATTTAAAAAAAGTTACCGAAACAACTACTTTTTGCAGATATAGGTTGAATGGTCTATTTTTTTTAAGGATGCAAATAAATAATATTGTCTTTCATAAAGGGCAAATTAACCTATCTTTAGGTAAATAAGCATCTAGAATTACAACTAGAACATGTGGGGCCCTTACTCCCAGCAACTGGACTGAACTGGAGACCAGGAAAGTTTGGGCAACTGAGTGTGGAGTTGTGCTTAGAAGACATTATCAGTGAATAGCAGTCTGGATGTTGCCCATCCTTCAGTATTTATCACTGACAGTCTAAGAGGCATTCATGTAACTGAGACAGTGGTATTTTACTACTCCCTTAAAGGGAGTATTAACATATGAAGGACTTTTGTATTAAAATGTTTGCCTTTATATACTTAGTATATATGTAGAAGTATATAGATTTTTTAAATCCTTAAGGTCATTTCTGGTACTTATATTTTGAAATGTTTCCTGTTTTGGAATATAAACAGACTTCTAAGAATCAGTATGGCAATAAGTTGAAGGTTACTAATAGAATCTCAGGCTGACATTCTAAGCAGGTAACTAATAACACAAAATTACTTTTTTACATGTCTAGAAAGTTCTTACCCTTCCTTTTCTTAAATTCTACTCTAGAGATTTCATTCTTGATGTAAAGATTTACCTCTGTAATGACAAAATGACAACTTGAGGTCTTACAAGGTGTTTATATTTTAGTATAAATGAGTTAATCATAAATCAGTTCTTGCTTGAAGAAGTTGGATTAGGCAGAAAAGAATGCAGGAAGGTGCTATCACCTAAAAGACAGCACTAAGCAGGAGAGGTACAGTCCAAAGGGAAGGCAGGGTGAAACATCTATGACACAGTTCTAGGCTACTTTTATCCTAGTAAATACTCAGATATTTTCTAATTCCTTCCTAGTTTCTAAGTTAAACCAAAGAACGCTTTTGTTTCATAACAAAATCACTTCTCATAGTATACATTGCTAATAACAGTTTGCACTCAGGCATAAACATGTCTAGTTTTAAAATTTTACATTACTATAAAATTTAATATATATTATATCTGTACTTTCCCATTTAAAATCTACTCTAGAGATCTTAGTCCATACTTCTGATGATGAAACATTTGGAAATAAAGGAAATCTAAAACATTTCATGTAAAAACCATACCTTCTGTCATCAGCTGATCTGTCACTGTCTGGTCCTGGGCAGGAGAATATGCTTACTGTTGTGGCAACAGGAACTAGAACTTAGAAAACTAGGGATGAAGGGGTCCAGAACCCTGGGTGCCTTAATATTGTATTCATTTGCATTAAAGGTGAAAGCAGCATTCACGGGAATGAGAAAATTCCAAGAAAAAATATTTTTTGATTCAGCTTTTTTCACAATGTTGTCAGAGGTGTTTAAATAAAAAGCATTTTAAGAGTTCATGATTATGATTATTTTTCTGAAAAGTTAAAGCAATGGAAGGTATTTCCCAAACTAATTCCAAAGTTTGGGAAGGTAACCCCCAATGTTGGATATTACTATAATTGGAAATACTCTATAAATAACACCAGAGAATGAAAAATGTAATCCTCATTTCCCTTCATGCCATCATGTGCTTCAAACAAAAAAAGTCATGATAAGTTTAGATGCATCTTCCTACCTGAAGATCTGAAGACGCAGTACTGCCTTGGTCTGAGTCATTTTGCACAACTGGAAGAGCACCTTTCTCGTCATCGGATGACATTTTCCACAGGTACTATAAAACAACAGAAGTTTACTTTTGTACTAACCTGTAAAACAGTCTTCATGTGATATATTAAAATCACTTCATATACTAAGTACCCACAGACAAATAGTTGGATAAGAAAAGATAAAGATTCAATTCCCAGCATAGATAAGTTGATAAGGCACCAAGGAGACAGACATGATAGGATAAAGAGCAACAAAGTCCTTATGCACGTCACAATCAGTAGAGTCAGACAGTCTACAGTAGAAATGATGGAAAAAGTGCTGTTGGATTCTAAAAAACGTACAAAACATGGAGGTAGGAGTGGCTATTTTTCACGGGGTGTGATTGTGAGGGTGTGAGGTAGGAGTAGAGCCAACGTTTTAATAGAGAAGATGACCCAGGTGGTGAGACCTGAAAGCTAGATAAAAGATATGTTAAACAGTAGACTAAACAGTAGGATAACAGAAGCAAAGACAACAGCAAGTGGCAAATAGTTTGTAAGTCTGAAGCAAGGTGTACAAAGCAAGACTTGGCCAGTAATGCAACTGCAAGGAAAGGTAGGTCAGATCATGATTTTGTCATGTCAAGAAGTTTGGTCTTTACTTTAGGTTTTTAAAATGTTTTAAATAAGTGATAACATGATCAGATTTGTCTTTTAGAAAGATCACTCAGGGAGTTTTCAGGATATGGGAAACTAAAGATAGAGTATCTGGCTGCAGTAGTTTAAGAGATCAATCTTCCCTCTCCCAGTTATGCAGGAGATATATGAGGATGAATCTAGGAAAGGGCACAGGGGAGGGTCTGACTATGAGACAGTTTTGTATGGTAGTGGAAATGAGAGATCAAGATAAAAATCCATCCAGGGTTAAAGGATGGAATTGGTGACTTCTGGTTTGGGCAACTAGGTGAACAATAGTGCCTGTGTACTCATTAAGGCAAGGAATGTAAGATGAGCAGGTTGGGAAGAAGGCCAATGAGTTCAGTATAAAAAATGTTGGGTGTGAGGTGCCCATTGGGGTACTGAGTGTGTGTGCATTATGTAGTGCACCATTCCTAGGTCTGCCACTCACAATGGCTACTATGTGAATGGGGCCTCCTGGGGTTAAGCAATATGGGAGTCTTGTGCTGGAGATTTAGGTGGGAGATACAATTTGAGTAAATCATCAGCATAATAAGAACTTGAGAAAAAAGGGAGAGGATAAGATTACCTATGAAAAGGAGTGGGAAGTCTTGATTCTGAGAAACACACACCCACATTGTATGGAGTACTTTAAATGCAAATAATGTCTTTTTCTAGGAAAAGGATTCTTAGCTTCCAATATGTGTTCAGAAGGGACTAAAACTATAGCAAACTTTTAAAAACTCTACTGTACTGTACTTTACTGTAGTGAAAGGATTAAAGCCATCTAACATCTATCTAAAAGGGAAGTGAAGAGTCAGCCACTGCTCAAAAGAAGTCAGAATAGAGCAATGAAAACGTCACAAAAGCTAACAGAAGGGAACAGTAAGTTGCCAATGAAAAATAAGAACTGGATAAAACCCCTTGAATCTGGCAATCAGGAAGGTGTAATATTTGCCTGAACAATTTCAATGGAAAGTGGAACAGATCTCAAGCACTGTGGGCTGCAAAGTGAGAGGAGAAACTGAAGTATACTTAAGAACAGACTCAGGGAAAAGTGCAATATTAGAAAGGAAACATATTGGTACTAAATTGTGGAACAACTTTACTGTATACATTCAGTAAACTAAACTAAATCTCAATATGATTATCTTTAGTTAAGCCAGTTAAAGATAAAATAAGGACATACATCTGCAGTAAGTAACGGCTGCTTCAGAAATTTCAGATCCACCTCTGTGATTGATAACTTGGCTCACTGCTATTGTGATTACTTGGCGATCCAGAAAGAAGGGCTCGGGAATTCAAACGTATGCACCAAGCGGCGGTGAAGAACGAATGAACGTGTGAAAAGGCAGCTGGATGAAGTCCGGGCGCCCTTCTAGACAGTTCAGGACAGGGGATACACAGCCCCTCACAGACTCAGGGACTAGAAACAAAGGAAAATCAGTCGTGAATAACCAAGGGCTGTAAGTTGTCTTCAATCACCTTCCAATCAACCCACTCCTGTTTGAAACCGCTTCTTACTTAAAAAACAAGGCGCTAGGGCCCTCCCGAGGTGATCCACATGGGACCCGCCCGCTGCTCCCCTCAGCAGTGTACTTCGTCGATCTGCCTGTTCTGTACCCCTCTGTCTCTGGTGAATCTTCACACCCTCCGCATCTCTGGCCTGTACCCAGTTCTGTACGAATAAATAAGTGAATCTTAAAAAAAAAATCTAAAAAACAAAAACAAAGAGCTAGCCTAGGTTACGTTTCCCCCTACATTTTAAATGATCGTACATTGCGGCAACAGTGACCGCTATACTCAGGCACCTTCACTCTGCTCCTCCCTTCCCAGATGCCAGAGAGGGTAAAACGTCCTGCTTCTGATGTCCCGCAAAACGAAGACTGCCCCAGTCTCGGGAACGACGCCCGCCAGCCCCGGGGCCATGCATTTTAAATCTCTGCTGCCACCGCCTGGGGCATGGGTACCCCGGGGAGCCGCTACCCAACCGTCGCGGCTCTCAACAAACCCTAACTTCTTCCTGCGCGTATCCTCAACACGTAGCCGCCAGAACAGCGAGCTCAACGGACACCTTAGCAGCAACCTGACAGTTTCAAACTGAGAAATTAAGGACGGCCTTGGACATTGGCTCCAAGCTTCAGCAATCTGCCGTTTGATTGGTGCAAGAGCTGGGGGCGGGGCTCAGGTCCGTGAGAGAAGCCGGAATTAGGTTACTTAAGGAAAGACCGCCCCCTGCTCAGGCACGCTCCAAGGGGCGGGTGTCTTCAGAAGCTCCGCCCAGCGTTGACGAGGCCAGGAGGGAAAACTGTGTGCTGCGCATGCTCACTTCCGTCTGGCGGCTGCCGACTACCGTGAGACTGCGGGGCCAAATTTGCTTAGAGGCAGCCAGGACGTGTACGAGTCAGCTGTTGGCTCCCAGCAATATTTAGGCTTTTGGTTCTCTTTCACAAGAACCATGTGAAGAAGAACCATGGAAGCTATCTATGGTTGCTGTACGTAGTCGTCTAGGGAGGAAAAAGTTGAAGCACTTCGTAAGAGCCGCAGTTTGTCTCAGATTCCAGGATCCACACGGTGTTGTGGAGAAGTTGTTCACAGTGTCAACAGGTAACCAGCAGTGAGAACCTGCCCGTTCCAGTGGAAAGCCCAATAACGAGCCTCTTTAAAAAAAATGTAAATTTTGTGGAAAATATGTAGATTATAAGCATGTACAGCTTTTGTTCCAGTATATAGCTCCATTTACTGGATGTGTTTATGGAAGGCACACGACAGGTCTTTGTGGGAAGAAACAAAACGAAATCATAAAATCGATTAAAAGAACCAAGTAATGGGATTTTTCCAATTATGTATAAGAGTCCTACATAGCTCAGAGACCCTGAAATTTGTAATATCAAATAGGAAGTGCTTTTTAAAAGTACAGTGATGTGACATATCACCCTCCTCCCCCGCCCAGTTCCTTCTGATTTGGGCAGGGCCAGGGAATGTGCATTTTTTTAATTTTTATTTTTATTATTTTTTTAAAGATTTATTTATTCATACAGAATTGGGGTACAGGCCAGAGATGCAGAAGGTGAGAGGATTCACCAGAGCCAGAGCGGATTCACCAGAGCCAGAGCGGTGAGCAGAACAGGCAGATCGACAAGGCACACTGCTGAGGGGAGCAGCGGGCTGGTCAGGAGAGGTCTGCCGTGCCATGTGGAGCTCCTCGTGGGCAGGCGGGGATCGAACTCATGCGGAAGTGGCTTTAAGTTTCTTAGTGTAGTGCCTTAAGCCGCTGCGTCACCAGGGAGGGCCCGGAATGTGCAATTTTAATAACAGCTCCAGTGAGTCTGATGCAGAGGTGTGGGGACCATGCTTTAGGACCATGCTGGACTGTTTTACCAATAACCCCTAGAATCTTTAACAGTGATTTTAGCAAACAGTTTTTTTTTTTTAATCATTTTCATTTTGTGGAGGAATAGATTAGATCTGTTTGAAGGCTTGAGGATTCCGAGAAAATTTCAGCTTTGAGCATGACTCAGCAATGCAGGTCTGAGAATCCTTTCTGCTCTGGTAGCTTCCACAGGATGGAAGGAAATTTGCCTTAGCCACACCAGGTGGCAGTGTGACCCACGCCTGGAGGCTACCACAGCAGGTGTATGAGGAAAAACAATGCAGGGATTCCACAGAGAAAACATTTGAAAATAATTTAATATAATACATAAGGGATAAATGAACTCAGTTTTCTATATTTTAATCAGGGATTCCCAGACCTGTGGGATTTATACAACTACAATGACAGAGAAAAGTTTAAAACAAGAACTTTTATTATTTTCACTGGCAAGAGAAATATGTATCCTGGTAGACAAGAACAAACCTTTATAAAAAGGAATAGAAGTGATCATATTGAAAGTTAAATATTATTACAATATTTTGTAAATATGAGAATAATTGTAAAAGGTAAAATTATTCTTTGTAAATCAAATGGTCAAACTATTTTACCTGTCAAAATTAAGAATCATTAATCTGATTCTCTAGAAACTGTTTTTGGAATTATAAAATGTCTGAATTTTGCATATATGGAAAATGTTTTCCATGTATGTAAACATACTGTCTTCAAGTCAGGATTCCAGCTGAAAACCCATTGAATTTGGAATATGGTGAAATAAGGGACAATTGCATTTCTGCTCTCAGTACTATATTCCTTCTTGAAGTAGCACATGCCTCACTATTTGTAGGTGCCATCACTTCCACATTTGCATTGGTCTTCTGAATATTTGCTGGGATTATAAAATGTAGGAAGCACTAACAGAGAGAAATCTCTCTTTAGAACTTGTGGGCACTTGTCATTGTGGCAAGTTTCTGATTGCCTGGAATCCTGTTGAACACTCTTCTAACATTTGGAAATTGTCCTGTCTGTGAGACCCACTTCCCCTGGCTGAAAGCAAAACTGACTTTCCCAGGTATCCTTGCTGCAGAGACAGGCACATGGTGTGGATTCCACCAGGCAGATCAGATCCACTTGCATATGACTTTGATTCGGAAGTGAGTAAAAGAAGAAAGGAGGCATGTTCACTTAGTATTATACTTGCTAAACAGTATTTACATGAATACTTATTATATGTCATTGGACAGGTGCCACAAGTAGTAGTTTTACACTCCTATGGGGTCTGAGGGTCAGAGTTACTTTTGAGCATCACAGTGTGATGCCCAGTATGAACTGGGCAGCATCTGCAAATCATGGTGGAGGCATCCACTGATGGCAGCAGAAGTGTTTGAACTATATTGGCTCTTGTGGAGTAACTGACCTTATTCCCAGCTATCCAACATCCAAATCTGATCCTCTCAGAACTTCTGTGAGCAACCCAATAGCTTTTAATTAATTATTTTCCCCTTTAAGTTGGCCAAAGAGATTTTACTTGCCACTTAAGACTCTGATAGAAACAGGAATAAGTGGAGATACTCTTTTTTTCTAGACCCACATTATGGGATCACTTGTAAAATTTGTATCCTGTCATACATCTAGGGACATTTTCATACGAAAACAGGCAAGGATGAAAGAATACAATGTAATAAATATAATCTGGAATAAAGGTGTAATAAAAGAGGTAAAACAATCAAACTGAGCAAAAGTAAAGTCATTTCAATATTTACATCTACAAGTAGTTTGTTTTCTGTCAATAAAGGAGAAATAACTTCAATGTTTAAAGCTAGGAATTTTAATGCTCATACTAGAAAACACTTAAATTTGATAAAAGTGGTAGAGAAGACTGTCTCTGGTCAGTATCCCATTTCCCTTCTAGCTACAGAATCCCTCTTTATTATTGGTAATTATAGGCTTGAGTTATCCACAAGAAGATAAGAAATAACAGTTGAGGAGAGTGAGGAAGGGGACTAACTATGGCAAAGGTGGCACCTAGAACTAGTGGTTGTGAATTGAAAACGAGTCTGCTCATCTTAGTTGTGTGTTTTCTCCAGCCAGTAAGTGCAGGTGTGCAGTAGAGCGTGGTTTAATCTGGGTATCTTCAGCCAATTGGAGTACAGGACAAGAATGATAAGGGAGGCAAGGAAATTTTTTTCCTTGACCATGCAATCTAAGTGGGACTAGGGAAATATAAAAGAAGACATGGAGTAGATGAAAAAAGTGAAAAGCTGGAGGCCCATTGGGTCAAAAGATTGTGGCATTGATAGCATATGGAGTGAGTGGGAGGAGAAAATGTGATCAGAGAATGGAACCATTGAGCTTAAGTGTAAAAAGCTTGTTTGGTAAAAGGATATTGTTTATTCATTATTTTTTGATAATCTTTAAAATTGGTTTTAAATGTATACTTTATATTAATAATAAGGAAATTCACATGTTTTAAGTGTATGGTTTAATGACTTGACAAACATATATTCTTAGGTAATTGCAGTTGAAATCAAGATATAGAATTGTCATCTTTGCTAAGTTTACTTGGGTCACTCCTTTGTCAGGTTCCCTGCATTGAATGACTTTTTCCCAAAATTCCCAAGTTGGAATTTTAACCCCAATGTGACTGTATTAGAAGCTGGTCTTTGGGGAACAGTTAGGTCATGAAGTGGAGTCTTCATGAGTGCCATTAGTGCACTTATAAAAAGATTAAGACAGTTAGCTTTCTATAGCAGCCCCAATGTATTAAACATGCTGCCAACTCTCATCTTTTTAACTTTTAACAGTGGATGAGAAAGGAGAGGACTGCTGCATCATGTGGGTCACCTTCTTGGCTGGAGATCAAACTCATGTTGCAGTGGCTGGGATACCTTCTCTGTAACCCCTTGTGCCACCAGGGAGGCCCCTAACCCTGCTCTTTATGGGAATTAGCATAGCAACAAAGGATTCTTTGTCCTCAACATTGGTAAACTGAACCAGAACTCATATAAAGCAGATAGGATCATTCACTACCACAGGAAGAAAAGCTTAAGAAATGAGTAATCAGCCCTGGTAATGAAGAATAATGAAGAAATTTAGGGTTCACAATACCACAACCTCATACATATATCCTCTATTTCTTCCAATCCCTGGTTCTTGGGGGTTATGTACATACATAATCTTAGGTAACCTCTCCTTAGAGTGACAGAAACAGAGCCAGAGAATCCCCAAATGGGGATCAATGGTAAAATTTAGAATATCTTTCTAAGGCCAATTTCTCTCAATTATAGCAGTGTGCCCTCTAAACCACTGCACCTGAAATTGGTTGGGGAAGCTGTCACCCTAAATCCATGGAATTATTATCGACACCTGGAGGATGTTTTCCTAAGAGTGTCTCTGGAGTATTATTGCTGTAAATATTGTCAATTAAAATTAAAAATTATTTATTCCATAGTAAGTAATTCAATTGCAAGTTAACATTTCTCACTTAACTTTATTAAAACTTTTCTTTCTTGCATACTTTTTTTTTAAAGATTTATTTATTTATGCATACAGAACTGGGGCACAGGCCAGAGATGCAGGGGCAGTGAGAGGACTCACCAGAGAGTGGGAGCAGAATAGGCAGATGCACGAAGTGTACTGCTGAGGGGAGCAGAGGGCGAGACAGGAGAGGTGGAGGGGGGCATGTGGTTCACCTCCTTAGGATAGAACT